AAAAACATATGCTTGCATGAGGATTGTTAAAAAATAAAACTATGGAGCTCAGGAGGTGCCAGGCCTGAAGTTTAATCCTCACCCAAGCACTATGAGGTGGGACAATTATGATCTTACTTTACAGACAAAAGACTGAGGCTCAAACCTGGTCATGCATGTGGCCCAGCAGCCTTGAGGTTCTGGAGCCCTCATGGATTTATTGGTGAGCCTATTGAGACAGATTTTGGAGGCTCTCCAACTGGCAGGCACAGCAAGACACAGGTGCTTATTGATGGTTTTCCAGAAAAATTTCCTAGGAAAGGCTTTCAAAGTGGAGGTAGAGTGTGGCCTGGCCCCTACAGATCACTACCAAGACAGGAATATATCACCCCCTCCAGACTACCCAGGAAAGGGTAGAGCCTCACTCCTTAGACCCAGGGCAGGACTGTGACTGCCCCCCTCAGACTTGGTTCTGCCTTCCTCTTCAGACACTGCAGGACAAGGACAGATAGCCGTCTGAGCCTCAGTCTTCCATCTGTATAATGGATCTCTCACCTGTCCCCAGAGGATTTGCAGGGCAACTGTGATTATAGATCTTCAGCTCTTTCCACCTCAATCTTTGCCCAGGTCTTCCACACTGCCTGGAGCATGCTGGGACCATAGGATGGATACCAGCAACAACTTGGGGGCCAGTTCTCATTGTTCAGTTCAGAGAGGGAAGAGCCCTGCCTCAAAGCTCAGCACATGGGTCCTGGAATCTTGCTTACCTGGCAATAACTCCAAGTTCCAACCCTGTGATACTTGGTAACTCCAGAAAATCACTTCCCCTCCTTCACCTTTTTTTTTAATCCTCGCCGGATGACATTTTTCCATTCTTTGTTCAGATAGAGTGGGAGGGAGAGAGAGGAAGAGAGAGAGAGAAACATCAGTGTGAAAGGAACACACCAAGTGGTCGCCACCCGCACGACCCAACCAGGGCCGGGGACAAACTGCAACTGAGGTACATGCCCTTAGCAGGAACCGAACCCGGGTCTCTCCTGACCGCAGGCCGATGCTCTAACCGCTGAGCAAAACCGGCTAGGTCCCCTCCTTCACCCTTAATTGCCTATCTGTAAACTGGGTGCCTGCCTCACAGCATCTTGATGAGGGACAAAGAAGGCTGGCTCATCACACACTTGCTCTGGCCAATCACCCATGTTAATTAGTAAGAATCCATGTACACATGTCACAGCCCCACTGTGAGCTAGGCACTGTTCCTGGTGACCTGGCTGCAATCTTCCATACTGGCATCCATGCCCATTTCACAGACAAGAAAACTGAGGCCCACAGAGGTTACACATGACCTGGCCAAGGTGGCATAGCCTGGACTGGACTTTCACAGACACGACCTCCCTCCAGGCCTCAGTGCCACCTCTTCAGAGACCCGAAGTTCTCCATATTGTTGCCTATCTTCACACCTTGTTCCCTCCCTTCTTTGTTTCCAGCTACTGTATTGCTGTAGCAACACACTAAACTCAAAGGGCCTGCCTGTATTGGCCTATTGCTGCTATAACAAGTCACCACCAACTTGGTGGCATAAATAACCCCAAGTCTTGCCCTGGCCAGTTTTGCTCAGTGGTTAGAGCATTGGCCCATGGACCAAAGGGTCATGGGTTCAATTCCTGATCAAGGGCACATACCTGGGCTGTAGGTTTGATCCCTGGCCCTAGTCGAGGTCATACAGCAGGCAACCAAATGATGTGTCTCTCTCATATGGATGTCTCTCTCTCTCTCCTCCCTTCCCTCCCTCTCACTCTATCAAAAATCAATGGAAAAATATCCTCAAGTGAGGATTAACAAACAAACAAAAAAAACAAGTCTTGCTTGGCCAGTGTGGCTCAGTGATTGAGGATCAACCCATGCACCAAGAGGTCACCAGTTCAATTCCTGGTGGGGGCATGCAAGAGACAGTTGATCGATGTTTCTTTCTTTCTTTTTTTTTAATCCTCATCTGAGGATATTTTTCTATTTATCTTCAGACAGAGTGGGAGGGAGAGAAAGAGAGAGAGAGAGAAACATCGTCGTGAGTGGAACACACTGACTGGTTGCATCCCTGACGACCACAACCAGAGCCAGGGACAAACTGTAACCAAGGTATGTGCCCTTGGCTGGAATCGAACCCGGGTCTCTGGACGACAGGCCGACGCTGAGCCAAACCGGCCAGGGCCTGATTGATGTTTCTATCTCTCTCTCTCTAAAAATCAATAAAAACTTATTTAAAAGAAAAAACCAAGTCTTTCTCTTCCAACTCTGGAGGTCAGATGTCCAATATGGGTTTCACGGAGCTAAAATCAAGGTATCAGCAGAGTTGCATTTTTTTCTGGAGGCTCCAGGGAGAATCTGTTTCCAGCCTTTTTTTTTACTCCTCATCCAAGGTTATTTTTCTACTTATTATCAGATAGAGTGGGAGGAAAGGAGAGAAAGAGACAGACAGAAACATCAATGTGATAGAACCACATCGGCTTGTTGTCTCCCACATGACCTAACCAGGGCTGGGGATGAACCACAACCGAGGTATGTGCCCTTGACCAGAACAGAACCCGCAACTCATTGGTCCGCAGGCCAGTGCTCTAACCGCTGAGCAAAACTGGCCAAGGCATGTTTCCAGCCTTTTATAGCTTCTATAGATTACCCACATTCCTTGGCTCATGGCCCCTTCCTCCATCTTCCTAGCTAGCAATGGCAGGTCATGTCCTCTCGTGTAGCTTCTCTCTGACCACAAAGGGAAAGGTCTCCACTTTTAAGTATCCTGTGATGACACTGGGCTTAGTGGGTAATCCAAGATTGTCTCCCCATCCAAAGGTTCTTAACCCTATCTGCAAAGTGTATCTGCCATAGAAGGGTCCAGGGATTAGAATCAGATGACTCTGGCTGAGTTGGGCTCTCTCTTACTTGTAGCACAAACATCCCATTGCTGTACTTCTGCTTCCACCACCCCCTCCTCCTCCCCATGGTCCATTAAACTCCCAAGTTTCAATGTAAATGTCCTGTTCCTCTGAGAAGTCTTCCTTATTTTCTCGCAGGCTGGGTCAGGTATGGCTTTGGGGTGTCTTCATATCTCTAATCACAATCAATTTTTAATGCCAGTTTACCTGTGGGGTCTGGGGGAAAGAGAAGCCTGGAATGCTGAGCAAGGCCCATGGTGGGTATTTGAGCTGGGAGGAGCCTAGGGCAGCTGGGGTAGGAAGTGGGCTGCAGCGGGTGAAGCTGAGGTTGGGTCAGGGTAGAAAGGAAGGTATAAATGGAAAAGACTTAAAAGGGGAGGTGGGGGTTCCCCAGAGAGGGCCAGTGACTTGCTTGAGGTCACGTAGCACATGGCTTCTGGGTTGGAGAGACTCTCCAGGCTAGGAAAAAGGAGGCCACTGGCAGCTAGCCTCCATTTGGAACCCACATCAGACTGACAATGACCTTTTGATTTGCATAGCCCAGGCCAGGGTGTCTGAGGTCAGGTCTTGGCCAAGGTCGCACTGTCCAGCCCCCACACACCCTTGGTGAGAACACAGAGTCTTATCCCTGCTCATTTCCCAACCAAGGGAGAATCCCCTAAGACTGTCAGAGGCCAAGGTCAAGTCAAGATAGCTGGGTATCTTCCCTCAGTGCCTCTAGGCAGTAACATGGCCCTTGGCCTCTGGTTAGGGGATACAGGTCAGGCTGGGCAGTTAAGGTGGAGGAAGGGGTCTGCATGTGGCATCTGATGGTAGAAACTCTTGTGCATGCAGAGCAGGGGCTGTGCTGTGTGGCCACAGGGACCCTCAATTTCCACACCTGGGGTGGGGGGCAGATGCAGGAATAGGGGGTGATGAGGCAGAGGTGGCCCTGGGAGATAGATACCCAACTGCTCTCCATTTTTCAAATTTTCCTGAAAGCATTTACCGCTCTTTGAAGTTATATATTACTTTGTTGTTCTATGTGTTTCATTGGCTATGGCCCCTACAAACCATGAGCTCAGTGATGGCAAGACTGGATCTGCCTTGGTCACCCTGATAGCCCAGTACCTCACAACAGTCCCTGCCACCAGGATATGGTCATTAATTATTTCTTAAAAGCACAAACATGGAGGAGCTGCACAGAATCCGTGAGCACTTTGAGGTGCCCTGACCATTTGAAAGGCCCCCCAAGGTAGAAGGTATCAGCTCCAAAATAGGAAGAGTGTCTAGCTGCACCAGGCCCCTGTAGACTCACTTCCCAGGTCCTGATGTTGCCATCATAAACTGTGGGACACTCAAGATTTCAGGGCACTGAACCTGAGCAAGGAGGAAGAAATTCCCCATAAGACAGTAAGTTCTTGCGGGTATGGCCCCAGCATATCGTCTGCAGAGGTCTGGGAAGGGTGCACAGTTTCCCAGGGTGTGAGGGGCAAAGTCCAGGCATACAGTAGGCACTTTGGAAGTCCTGTGGTATGATTTTTGCAGTCAGTGATGTTGTTGGGACTATCTGTGTCCCTGGATCTCTCCCTGCAGCCCCCAGCTACCCCCCCCTAAACACGTGTTCACACCTAGCTGTGCCCACTGGCTCCCCCAGCCAGGTGGCTAGGTGGGCGGGCCTGGGGTGTGAGCAGCCAGCCTGGGGCTCAGGTCTCCCAGTGCGGGGCCCTATAGGGATGGGAGGACCACACATGGGCCATGCAAGAGACCACATGCAATCCACGACATGGTACACACTACCCGTGAGTAACCAATTAGCTCAGCCACAGTCCTACAGCTGAAGATCCCCAAACGCACGGTGACACCTCGAACTCACACCCAGTCACAATTTGGCCCCCTTGCCTCGGCTACAGCCATACTTCTACTAGTGGCCAGGCTCAGCTCCTGCACACATCGCGCAGGACTCTGCCTCGTGCCCCGCCATTCACGCGCCCCGCCCCGGCCCGGCCCCGCCCGCAGCCAGCGGGACCTTTATAGGGAGCGCCGGCCGCGGAGCACTGAGAAGTCGGTGTCGCCGCCCTCCCTGCTACCCGCCCGCGAGTCCGTCCGACGCGGGGCCGTTGCCGTCTCTGCGTTCGCCATGCGTCCCAGGGCGCCCCGGCCACTGTGGCCACTGCCCTGGGGGGCCCTGGCTTGGGCCGTGGGCTTCGTGGGCTCCGTAGGCTCCGGAGACCCCTCGCCCGGTGAGTGGGGTGGCCGGAAGAGGCGGGCGGGGTGGGCCACCCACGTGGGCCTGCCCGGAATGCGGGCTGGGGAATGTTGGGGGTCCGGGAGGTGGTGGTAGCTGGGGGGTGTAGGGCGATGATCAGAGACCGCTGCAGATTGAATTCGGGAGGGCTTGGGGCTACCCCTCCCCCAGCCCCAAAGGGCCTAAAGGAGGATAATCAGGAGGTCAGCAAAACAGATATGACTCTCTCACAATTGTGATCAATAGTAATCACAATGACTGACATTTATTGAGCCCTTAGTGTCTACCTCTTACCTCCTTGAATCCATGCAACAGCCCAATGGTGTGGGAACTCTTATCATGCCTGTTTTCCAGATGGGGAAACTGAAGCATGGGGTCACACTGTTTGTTAGTGGCAGAATCAGAATTGGAACTCAGACCATCTGGGTCCGAACACCACAGAAAGGCAGGGCTAGCTGGGTGGTGGGACCTAGCACCTCCCTAGCAGAGCCCTCAGATCTTCCCTGGGTCTGGCTTAAGCAAACGGGTCATTAGAATTTCCTACCTGCCACTTACTGGAAGGCACCTGGCAAGTAACATCCCCACTCTTGGTCTCAGTTTCCCCTTTTATGAGTACCAGGTGCTGAGTTCCCAGAACTGGTCCCTCGGAGACAGCACCTGGGAACCAGTGAGCTCTCTGGGATGGGGGCCATGGCCATTCCTGCCCCCATTTAAGAGTGAAGAAACTGAGGTCATCTGCCTCCCCCTACCCGGCAGCCCCACCCAGTTCTACACAGAGGGAGGGGAGAACGGAGACCCCTCCCCGAAGGCTGTGTCCCCAGGGAGACAGTGAGCTCATGCAAGGGGAATGTTCCCAAGTTGGAGTGAGTAAGAGGCAGTCCAGGCAATGGGGGTGGGGGGACTGCCAGGAGAAAGGGGCTCTGCATGCCCTCCAGTGCTGTTTAGACAGAGGGCAGAGGCAGGAGAGGCAGCTCCAGGACCTAGTGGCCCTGACACATCCAGCTCTGGGTGTTTGATTGGGCAGGATGCCAGGTTGGGTGGGTAGGGGAGAACTGGAGGGAGGGTGGTTCAAATAGAGGAGAGCTTCTCCAGATGACTAGTAGTGGAGCAGTGTTGGGGGGTCGAGCTCAGAGAGGATTCCAAAAGGATCTGGAGACCCTCCTTCCCAGGTTGGAGGCAGATCATCCTCTTCATAATTACTGAGTACCAACTGTATGCATCCCTGGGGCTGGGAGCTGGGTGGAAGGTCAAGGCCTGGATGTCAGGAGTGGTACAGGAGGGCACCTCTGGTCCCATAGGAACTGCCCCCCTGGTCCACAGGTGGTGTCTGCTGGCTCCAGCAGGGCAAAGAGGCCACCTGCAGCCTGGTGCTGAAGACCAACGTGAGCCAGGCTGAGTGTTGTGCCTCTGGCAACATCGATACCGCCTGGTCCAACTTCACCCACCCAGGGAACAAGATCAGCCTCCTGGGCTTCTTGGGCCTAGTCCACTGCCTCCCCTGCAAAGGTGAGACCCCAGGCATCAGCCACAATCCAGGGTCACTATGGTCAAAGGTGGACCCACTGGAAGTGAGCTCGCTGTCTCAGGGGTATGCAGGAGGAAGTCAAGGCTGCTGGGAGAAGCAGCTGTTGAGGGTATCCCAGCCTCAGCCTTCTTCATTTGAGGATTTAGGAAGAAGCTCTGAAGACTCCTCAGCTTGGTTTCCAGTCTCGAGGCCTTTACTTATGCCAATCCCTCTGCCAGGATGGCCTTTCCCACCTGCACTCCACCTGGTGGAAGAATACTTGGCTCACACCTAACTCCTGGGAAAGCCGATTTTCCTGACTGGCCTTTCTGGTTTGTAAACCCACACTCAGTGTTCCCAACTGTCATCTGCCCTTAACCCCACAGATCCCAGGGAACTGTGGTGGGTCCCCAGCTGCATGTTCAATAAGCATGTGCCTTCTGGACCATGTTTTGAGAAATGCTGCCTCCTCATCCAACAAGGAGCTCTTCAAGGGCTGAATTAATAAAATGAGACATATTATCTGCCTTGGAGAAGGGGTTGGGGGCCCTCCCAGGCCCCTGTGGTCAGGGTCAAACCTGCAGGGACCCAGAAGGGACACAGCTTGAAGGAGGTGGGCATTAGAGACAGGGTTTGGGGGAATAATAGGAGTTTATCAGCTGTGGAAAGCATGTGGGAGAACATCAGCAGAGATCATGGACTACAGTGAGGTCCTGGTGGGTGGGGTCAGTGCAGGAGAACAGGGAGGAGGCTGGAGCTGTGGGCTGCAGACCTGAAGAAGGCCAAACTGAGGAGCCTGGCTGGGCTCTGGGATGTGATTAATCCCAGATCAGCCTGGCTGGGTGGTCCTAAACTCACTGCCACAAGCCCTTGCTCACTCTAGAACCCTCTCTGGCTTATGGGAGGACAGACTTCAAAAAGTGCCTGGTCTGGGCATGAGATGGTCAAGGACAACCCCCCCACACTCCCCCCCCCCCCACTCTGGCTTTGGGGACAGGAACTCAGAACCCCCCCCCCTTCTGTTCCCTCTTGCATGAAGCCACACAGGCAGAATATTTCCAGATGTGCATGTGGGCGGGAGGAGCCCAGGTGCAGCCCACATGCCCTGGCAGGGGCAATCAATGCGGGGGCGCAAGCTATTCTCTTAGGAACATACACTTATTTTATGCTCATCCTGTAAGGTGGGTTCCCCCATCAGCCTCACTTTATACACAGGGAAACTGAGGCTAGAGTGTAAACTTGACTCAGAGGCTGCCCTCCAGACCCACAAGCAACAGAACTGAGTTGGAGGGGTCTATCCAGGATCTGGCCTGGAGTTATGCTGAAGTGCTCCTGGCTCTCCTCCACTCACAGCAGTGACAGGGCCTCAGTTTCCCAAACAGCATGACTTCGTGGGGTAGTTGGGAGGCTGCAACGAGCCTGGAAGGGCCTAAAAGGCAGGAGCAGCCATTAGTGGGGTTTGATTTTCATTTCCAAAGGTCCGGGCCTGAGTAGGGGATGGACTAGAGAGAGACTTCCCCTGGTCAGACCTGTTTTCCTACCTGAGAAATGGGGCTGCTAGGGGCTGGGTAAACCCTAGTTCAGACAGCTCAGGCCGTGGGAGGTCCGCTCCCCAGGAAATGAGCCTCACGCCAGGCACCGACGCCCCGCCCTCCCTATCGTCTCCTCTGGGGAGGTTCTGGCAGGCACGAGGAAAGGACACCGCCAGTTCTCCCCAGACCCGCGCCTGGATGGGGTGGACCCCCACCCTACTCCCGTGCTAACACAGCAGGGTCTCCTGCCTGCCTACCCAGAAACACGAGTCAGGGATTAGACGTCAGTGAGAGCGGGAAGGGGGGCTGGAAGCCTGTTCCTGTACCCCAAGATTCAGGACAAAAACTCCTTTCCTGCCCACACCGAGCCCCACCTCCAGACAACAGCACTCAGCCCCAGGCCCCCAGGCGTCCACCCGAGCAGTGGCTGAATCTCTCCCGCAACGGACCCCGAACCAGTACCCTTGCTGTGCGCTCTGACTCTGGACAGCCCTCCACTCCAGCTGGCCTCTATCCCTCAAGACAGGGGGCGAGGCGCCGTGGACTCAGAAGACCTCTGGCTACGAGCCCTAGCCCATGGGCGAGTGTTCTGTGTTCGCAGATTCGTGCGAGGGCGTGGAGTGCGGCCCCGGCAAAGCGTGCCGCATGCTGGGGGGCCGCCCGCGCTGCGAGTGTAAGCCTGACTGCAGGGAGATCCCCGCGCGCCTGCAGGTCTGTGGTTCGGACGGCGCCACCTACCGTGACGAATGTGAGCTGCTCACCGCGCGCTGCCGCGGCCATCCGGACCTGCGTGTCATGTACAGGGGCAGCTGCCGCAGTACGTGTAGGCGGGACCTGCTGGGGGCGGGGCCGCCAGACAGGCGCGTCAGTACCTCAGTTGCAGAGCGTGGGGGCGGGGCCTCCAGTGCAAAGTGCCTAGTGTAAGCAAAGATCTTGAGGTTTCGGGCGGGGCTTGTAGTGGGCGGGGCCTAAGTGGAGAGGTAGAGGGCGGGGTCTGATAAAGGGATTCTTTATGCTCCTGAGAGAGCGTGAGTGGATTGGGTCTTTTGTGGAGTCAAGAATAAGGAAGACTAGGATGGAAGTTTGGAAAATGGGATTCTGGGGCTCACATGAGGTGAGAAGTATGGGCGCGCGATACAAAGGGGCTTGTGGGTGCAATAAGAGGGGGCGGGGCTTGAGGGGCGGGCTCTGACTGTGGGAGGGGCCTCATGGAAACGGTATGGTTTCTGGCACAACCGAGGGGGTGGGGCCTGAGAGTGTACTCAGTTTGTGGGCGGGATTCCTGGTCTTGGTGGAGCCCCTGACCCACCCTGGTGCCCCGCCCGCAGAGTCGTGTGCACATGTGGTGTGCCAGCGGCCGCAGTCATGCGTGGTGGACCAGACCGGCAGCGCCCATTGCGTGATGTGTCGCGCTGCGCCCTGCCCCGCGCCCTCCAGCCCCGGCCAGGAACTTTGCGGCAACAACAATGTCACCTACATGTCCTCGTGCCACCTCCGCCAGGCCACCTGCTTCCTGGGCCGTTCCATCGGGGTTCGCTACTCGGGCAGCTGCGCAGGTGCGAGTCGGGTTGGAGAGCAGTTGTGGGCTGTAGCCCCCAGCCCCTCTCCATACTCCCATTTCTCTGTTCATCCTTCGCGTTCACCAGGCACCCCTGAGCCCTCTGATGATGAGTCCGAGGAAGAGGAAGAGAACTTCGTGTGACTTACAGGGCGACCTGGGCCTGGCGTTCAAGGCCTCCCCCATTTTATTTATTGCCACAGCAAAGCCTAATTTATGTCCCACGGACACTCCCCAGAGCCAGGACCAACCATGTGGGGGAGCCCTGGGCCCCTCCCCCAACTATATCTTGGAAGGATTGTGGGGAGGAGGCCTGGGAGTAGTGCTGGTAGGTGGGGCCTCCACCCCAGACATCCTACCACTGCCTAAGGAGACCCTGCTTCTGTTCACTCCGGGATAACTATTAGTTATCGCTGTCACTGAGAGGGCTGGGGATTCTCTGCCAGCAATTAATGAAAAGACACCCTAGTCTTCTAGAATAGGAACCAAGCGATAAGGAGGGGTCCACAACCTGGGTGCATATATGTGAGCCTCAAAACATGCTCAGACCCCTAGACAGGCAGAGGAAGCAGTCTCTGTCCCCTACCAGCCCAAGAATTCAGGGCTTTCCTTCCTCACTGCCTCCACGTACCCAGTAGGTCCTGTGGAGGCCCCTGAGAAAAGCCCAGCTTATCTCCTGGTAGGCAAAGCCCTATCTGTGCCTCCTGACACAGGCCTCAACTCAGCATCAGCTCAGAACAGGGTACCCTGTTCAGTGGTAATGGTACCCAGTCCATTAAGGGTGAGACTTGGTGGGGCCCAGGAGGCCCTACTCACCCACTGGCCCAGGTGGGGTATAGATGCCAAGGCCCACTGCACACCTGGCCTCTTGGAACTATGTGTCTGAGCAGCACCTCTAGTGCCTGCTGACTAGTCCACAGGTAAGGTCTGGACCTAGGACCCCTTGGTATCACAAGGCCCACCCTTGCTGGGCCTCTAGGCCCAGTTCCTAGCTGGACCCTCTTCGCTTACCAGCTAGGCCTAGGGGTCTCTACCCTGTCCAGTGCTAGCCTAAGGTCAATTCCCTCCATTCCTGGGCTGTCACTCAATGGCACCTCCCTGTGCCTTTATGTAGACCAGATGTGGGAATTCAGCTCCTCAAGTTTGGGGCCAGGAGTGCAGGGGGCAGTGTGCTCACCCTCTCCTAGCTCCCAGGAAGTGCCTTACTTATGACACCCAGAAAAGTGCCCTTGAGTAGGTGAATTTGCCCAAGCTCCCCAATAAGGCAACTTCCCCCACCCTGAGGTCCTGCCTCACCGAAGAAATAAAGATTGTAAAAAGCCACCTTGGGGTCAATTCCCGGTCTGCTCCTCTCTCTCTGAGCCTCTGTGCTGCCCACTTTGGTAGAGGGTCATTAGCCTGGAGCCTGGAATGCTATTAGGGTAGTAAGTGGGGGCTCTGGAAGCATCCAGGGGAGACACATGAGCTTATTTCCTTGGGGCATCCACTGTCCATCTCTGGGCCTCAGTGTCCATCTCTGGGCATGGAGCAGCAGCCAGACAGAGGGCTGAGACAGGTAGGGTGGTGGTGGGGGTGAGTGGGAAAGAAAGGAGGCCAGGCAAGTGGCTCAGGGAGGAAGTGGCTCATCTGAACTCTCAGCCACCTTGAACCCAAGAAGAAGTTCAAGGAATGTGGGGAGACCATCATGTCTGGTTGTCAGTTAATATTTTACTCAGTTATTTTGGCCCTTTTTGTTGGGAACTGATGCCCACTCCCATCCCAAGCTTCCTGGGTTTGGGGCCCTATGGACCCCTTGCCTCAGCCACGAATTTTCCAGACCGGAGCTGTTTGCATTGGTTGTCATCTCATCTGTGTACACAGCACTGCTATGGTTCAGGCAGCTCAGTGGGGGTCCCAGTGGTCCTGGGTGACAGTCTGGGCCAGGAGCTGTGGGGTACTGCCGAACCACATCCCAGATCCAGGTCATGAAAGCAGACACCTGTGTGTATACATCTGGGGTCTTGGGGTCGCCGCACCAGAGGCCAGAGAAGGAAACGAGGCCATGGGCCCGGTTCCTGCACACCAAAGGACCCCCGGAGTCCGCCTGGGATGGAAGGAAAGGTGAGGTCAGGGTTTCTTCTCTCATCCTCACTTAGCCTGAAGGAGCTTCTACATGTAAAGCTTACCAGGACCCTTTTCTGCCCTCAAAGTCCTTCCATGACCTCCTAGTACTATTTCAGCAAACAGTAAACCCCTCACCTCAGCCTTCAAGACCCTGAGGATTCCACCTACCTGTTTGCCCTTCTCTCTCCCTCACTCACCCGGTTCCAGCCACACCAGCCTTCCTGACTTCCTGGAGCAAGCCAAGCTTCATCCAGCCTCTAAGCTTTTGTGTGTCTTTGAGACCTGTTACTGTCCCCTACTGGACACTGCTTGTATAAACATCTGCAGCTATTTGTGCAGTATAGACCTGCAGAGCTATGCATGGCAGCCCTGTGACTGTCTCTCTACCAGGCATGCCTTCCCTCAGATCTTAAGGCTCCTTCAAATCTCAGCTCAAAGGCGCTCTCCTCAGAAAAGCCTTCCTGAATACTCACCCTAAAATCCCTGCTTCCTCCCTTCCCCTCACCTCCTGGCCCTAGCACCCTAATTGTCATCTGGAATCACATCTGCCCCTGTAAGGTGGCAGTTCTATAGATGGAGAAAGAAAGATGAGGTCCAGAGAAGTGAGGTGACTTTTCCAAGGCCACACATCTGGAAAGTGGCACAGTGTGGGTTTAGACCCAGGTGGTTGGGCACCAGAACCTGTGTTCTAAACCACTAAACTCTCTTGCTTGAAACAAAAGATCCTCTAGGCTGAGTTTCTCCCTCTGCATCAGGGCCAGGCTGCCATTGGTCCAAACAGGATATTAAGAGCAGGAGCTCCTCCTTGAGATCTGTTACTGCCCCCTACTGGGTAATGTTTACAAATATACAGAGCTGTAGCTCTGCACACTGCACAACCGGCACAGCCATACATAGTAAGGCCTATCTAGTCAAAAGTAAGCTGGGACTTAGTTCCCAAGGTTCTGTCCAGCTCTGACCCTTCTCTGTGGGCCTTGGTTTCCTCATGTGGTAAGTGGGAGGAATGGAGAATGAGTATCTTACCGAGCAGAAGCCTCGCCGCCGTCGGTCCCCACTGTGGGTGCAGATCATGGCAGGACTGAGCTGGCCCCTCCAGGAGCTGTTGCAGACATCCAAGCCCAGCACACGGACCTCAGTCTCCATCAGCCCAGGTGGCAGGTCCTCAAAGTTGGACACAGAGCCCCAGCCGGCCACCTGGCACCGCGTCCCAGCCCTGAGTGGCCTGGCACCCCTTTGGGGCAGCCTCAGCAGCCCCACTGCAGGACCCAGGATGGCAGAGGTGTTAAGCTGCAGGGAGAACACTGAGTTTTGGACCAACCAATCCATCACCACTGCTCCTGCCTCAGTTTAATTGTAACACCTGGTCTCTTGGCCTTATGGAGAGAAAGCAATGGCTGCGAGAAGGCCCACTGCTTTTGCCACCACGTGCGCCCTGTCCATCAGGCCTCACCCTCTCAGACCAGGACTGTGTTCACCCCTCAACTCCTCAGCTGCCCAAAGGATCTTTCTAACCAGCATCTCCTTCCCTGCTCTAAGCCCTTCCATGGCTCCCCATTGCCCTCGGGATAAAACCTCTTGCCCCCCATTCAGCCCTCTCCTCCAGCCAGAATGAATATACTGCCATGTCCTGGGCCCACCTCCACACTTTTGCTTACACTGTACTCCCCGCCTGGAGCACCTTTCCTATCCAGCTTTCAGGTTTCAGCTTAGACATCACTTCCTCCAGGAAGCCTTCCAATACTCTCAGGCTAGGGCAGGGAGCTCCTCTGGGCTCCCATGTGCCCCTGTCAAGTTTACCCAGCCGCCACCCTGTTAGACTAAAGGCTCTAAGGGGGTCAGTCCTAGGGTCTGTTCATGGCTGTGTCTCCATTAACTGGCACACAGCTGGCACTCAATCAGCAGTTTTGGAATGAATGACTTAGGCCCCTAATTTTGGTACACTCCCTGACCCTGGGCACATCCCTGACCACTCCGCAACCTCAGTTTCCCCATCTGCACAATGGGATGGGTGAGTCAGAGCAGCAGGTTCCAAGCTTTGAGGTTCCACAAGTGAGTAAAATCCAGACTTTGGCTGCTGACACTCACTGCCCCCTTTTTACTTGTCAAAGGAACCCACATGCCAGACCCTCCTATTCCAGGGACCCATTCAGTCATATTGAGTGTCTCTCTATTTTACTTTTTCACCACATTTGGAGGGCAAGTTTGGGACATTCTTTCTTTAAAACAGAGGACCTGGGGATGCCTGGAAATTTGGGGTGCCCAGGTGGGAGCTGCAGGAGGTGGTCCAAAAAGATGAACCTCATAGGGGAGCAGAGGGAAACTCATAGTTATGGGAGGAGCTGCTTCCTGGCCAGAAAACCCCATGAAGGGCCAGGGGATTGAGGTCTTTCATGGCCCTACTGTCTCATTTGTCCTCTCTTTCATCCTGAACATTGAGCACCTGCTGTGTGTCATCAATGGTTGTAAATGTGGTAAAAATCCCTGCCCTCAGGCCCACAGGAGGCAGTAAAGAATGGTGAAGTAGCAAACGTGCAGGTGCTGTTAGCAGGTGATAGCTGTGCTGGACACAAAAGAGGTAGAACAGGGAGAAGGGACAGCAGGACAGGGGCAGGTTGCAGGATGAAGGGGTCGTCAATGCCTCCTGAGAAGGGGACACTTGAACAAAGACTTAACCTGATTCAGGTGTTTCAGGATCCTTCTGCTATTTTTAAAACATGTCCAGTCCTCATGGGGGTGGCTGGGACAGGTCAGACTTACATCCACTGTTCCTCCCCACCCCCCCTCACGAAGCTCACCTGCAGCAGACAGATATCATTGGTGTGGGTTGTGGGCTGGTAGTCAGGGTGCCTGATGACAGCCGAGATGCCGAACACCTGCTGGGTGGGCTCTGAGGTGTGAATGTTGTGGGCCCCCAGCACTACCAGGACTGTTCCGGGGTCTCTGCAGGGGGGAGGAATATTATAGTGAGGGAGACTGTGCTGAGGACCGTCTATCATGGGCCTTGGTATCCCCATCTGCAAAACTGGTGCAAAGCAATCCATTTAATCTTGATGCCAGCCCTACAATAATAATTATGTTTGTTACCATTCCCATCTCAATTACAGTATTAGCTCTAATCATTGAAATATTAATTCTAATAACTATTTTAAACTATACTTAGAATGCCTGGCTGGTGTGGCTCAGTAATTGAGCATCGACCCACGCACCAAGAGGTCGCCAGTTCAATTCCCGGTTGGGAAACATGCCCAGGTTGTGGACCCAATCTCTAGTGGGGGGCGTGCAGGAGGCAGCCAATCAATGTTCTCGCTAAATAAACTATATTTAGAATGAATAGAATATTTACTATAATTCCCACCTTGATTATAACATTACCTCTAAAGGGATTCATAACATGCCTCCCCAAAATGTTCCTCTTTGGCATGTGGATTATTATTATTACTATTATTTTTTATCCTCATTCAAGGACATTTTTGCATTTATCTTCAGATAGATTGGGAGGGAGACAGAGAAGGGAAGAAAGAGAGAGAAACATCGACGTGAGAGAGACACATCGAGTGGCTGCCACCCACACAACCCCAACCGAGGCCAGAGACAAACTGCGACCGAGGTATGTGCCCTTAGTGGGAACCGAACTGGGGACTCTCTGGTCTGCAGGCTGACACTCCAGCCGCTGAGCCAAATTGGCCAGAGTGGCATGTGGATTATTTTGAGTTTAAGGCCATCAAGACCTTGTGGGCTCACTAGAAACTTCTGCCTCTCCTTTTTTTTTTTTTTATCCTCACCCGAGGATATTTTTCCATTTTTTGTACAGATAGAGTGGGAGGGAGAGAGAGGAAGGGAGAGAGAGAGAAACATTGATGTGAAGGGACACATCGAGTGGCTGCCACCCGCACAACCAACCAGGGCCGGGGACAAACTGCAACCGAAGTATGTGCCCTTAGCGGGAACCGAACCCGGGTCTCTCCGGTCCGCAGGCCGACGCTCTAACCGCTGAGCCAAACTGGCCAGGGCCTGGCTCTCCTTTAACCACCTACATGAATCTAAATTGGGGGCCTGGCCCATAATGAGAATTATCACCAAAGATACCGTTTTACAGCCTATCTAGAAGGCAGGGCAAGCTTCTAATTACTGAACACCTATGCTTCTTAAGGTCTTGAGGATGTCCCTTCTTCCCTCTGATGTCTCAGGCACCTGACCTCATCCCCAGCTCAGGTAACATATATACCTCATTTGTCCTTTCTGTCCCCAAACCTGTCATGGATGTGGGGGTCTCTGACTCCCTCATATATGTGAGTCATCTGTATGTATGTATGAAATCTGGTTATTTCCCCTTGTTAATCTATCTCATGTAGATTTAATTATTAGACCACCTGGAAGAACCTAGAAAGGTAGAGGAAAAATTTTTTCCAATTATTTCAATATTAATGTTATTAATTATTGTAAATATATACTTAGATCAAGCATGGCGATGATAACATCTACTTATTGTCATGGAGGTTGTTCCTCTGGCACTTCTCTTGTGGCCCCCACCTTTTTCCCTTTGTTGTCCCCTAAAGCTGGCCCCAATGAGATGCCTCTTCCTGCAAGAGCCCCCAAGGGAGAGGGTGGAGTCTGGCCATCCCAATCATGCCTCCACCTGGAATGTAGCAATGCCCACACCAGGAACACCGTCTTACTTCCCCCTTTAATCCTCACTACAGCTAGAGCATACAGAAGTCACAAGTGGCAGCAGGCAGGGGCTGGCCCCCAGGGTGGGCTCACCTGTCCTTGAAGCAGTGGGCAGCAGTGACCACCCAGCGGGTGCAGAGAAGGAAGCCACCGCAGTGATGCTGGCCCTCGAAGCTCACTGATGCCATGTAGGGACGGGAGTGTGGGGTCACTTCTCGGCCCCCAATGATTCTAGCCCCCCAGGAGCCTGCAGGTAGGGAGGAGGGGCATGTCAGGGAGGGGCAGAAGAAAGGCTAGTGGGGGCAGCTCAGGCACTGGATGGGATGGGGTTCGAGCTGGGGGAGAAAGAGTCAGAGATGGACAGAGATGGAAAGAGAGATGCAGAAGGACAGAGAGAGTGAGTGACGAGGAGCCCAGAGAAGGCCCTTGAGTGTGCCAGGAGGGAGACTGGATCCCAGAATCCTGAGCCTGGGCTTGGTCAAGATCCCAGCTGGACTTCCTGCACTACTCCCTGCTGAGGCCCGAGAGGGTGACCAGCCAGAGATTGTGTAGCTGCACCAAATCAGGGCCTATGTGGGGGTACTTTGGTGTTTCCTGGGGTAGGTCTGGGTGGGGGCCTTGGGGCACTTGAGGAGTTCCTGGGTGGGGCCCCTATATAGGGGATCCTACTCACCCAGAGGCCTCACGGACAGCATTAGAGCAGTGGTCACAGTCAGCAACAGGTGGTCCCAGGTCTCTGCCCTAGGACCCATGGCTAGTGCAGGCTGAAGTCTCCCTCAATAGCTTTGAAGACCAAGGCCCCCACCCTCACCCAACGGCCCAGAAAGGGGGAACCCATCTGTGGCCTGTGGTTGGAGGCCCCGTTAGGCCCCACCAGCAACGCTCAGATCTGAACTGGTGATTGTGGGAAACCAAGGATTTGACTGCCTTGGGGTTGTTGATCAAAAATGCAAGGGAGGAAACAGAGCAAGGAGGGAAGCAGGGAGCTGCCTGCCCAGGCAAACCCTGGCTCCACCAGTCCCTATGACCCCAGAGGTCACGTATCCTCTCTGTGCTTCAGTTTACCCAGCATCTGTCCCCAGGTCTTGATCAGTTTCCCCAGCCACACACCCTTGGTGGGGTGGGGGGGAGTAGGGGGAGGTGGGTTGTTGATATAAGTATCAAAGCTGCAGGTGTGTGAAACCTCATTTAGTCCTGGAGTGACCTGAAGATGTCAGTAATGTTTCTATCCCCATGTTACTGATGGAGAAACTAAGGCACAGAGAGGTTAAGTGCCTTGGCCAAGGTTGTACAGAGGGAACCAGTTTTGCAGCCTCAGGACAGCTCCTATCACTTCTGCCAGGGGCCAGTTCTACCCACAGCTGGGCCTATTTCCTTCCCATCTGATAGCAATTATGAAACAAGCAACTGTCCTTTGTGGTCCCAACTAACCAAGCTCCCAGAAGCCCTGAGGAATGGGCTGGGTGGGGGCCAATATTTCCATTTTCCAACCTGAAGCACAGAAAAAAGGAGCCTGGCTTGTTTGGGGCTGAATGGAAGATGGTCTTGAACTCAGAACTCCTGGACTATAGTCCTTGATGGATTTTTCCATGGACGATTTGGGTGGCTTTCCCAGTCAGAGCAGACTCAACAACAACAGTGATGATGACAATGATAATAATAATAACTCCCTTTACTAAACACTTTTGTTACTGATTTGTTGGAGCTCTTTATATACTAAAGAGATTAACTCATGGTTATATAAATTTCTTTTCTGAGAATTCTCAGATGCAAAGGACACAGCCCCCAGGAGAGTGAGTATGGGTTCTGCTGATCTGCAGATGGACAAATGCTGAACTGGCCAGAGGTGGGTAGCCCCATCAGGCCCACATTCCCATTACCTGTGAAGGCTGGGGCTCCCAGGGCCATGGAGCAGTCCAGGAGGACTGCAGCAGTCGAGGCTCTAGCATGCTGCTCTGTAAAGCGCCTGACCTAGTCTGCGCCTGAGGTTGGGGCTATAAAACTGGGGAGAGGGAGCTTCAGAGCCCCTTCCCTCTGGGATATAATCCCTGTCATGTCCAGCTTACCCCTTCTTAGCCCCTTTTGAGCTAAGGCATGAGCTAGAGTCAGGGCTTGGAGGAGGTAATGGAGTTTCTGTCTCAGGGACAGAGGAGGAGTGGGTCTTTGGAGCCCACACAGAGACCAGTATGAGACTTCCCTGGAGTCCAAGGGCCACCAAGGATGTCCTGGGACCACCTTAGCTGTGAGGACAAGGGCAGGGGTTGCTGGGCAGAGACCTGGGGATGGTGGCATCCAAGATGAGCAGAGGTGACCAAGGAGGTGGAAGGAGAAGGTGTGTCATCATGGAAATCATGGTTACAAGTGGTCCAGGAAGGGGGTAGGGCCCCAGACGGATGGGAGCTACAGCACACTGAGTGGAGAAGAGTAAGAAGAGTAAGGAGTGGGTGACGTGGATCCCTCTCTGGAGGGTGAAAGATCAACTCAAGCCCACTACTCTAGTTCATGACACATCCTGCCTTGTCCCACCTCCATGCCTTTTCTTGGGCTCTCTCATGATGCCTCTCCTCACCATCTCTGCCTGACCTGATTTCCCCAGCTCACGTGTCACCACCTCCAGGCTGGAAATGACTACCTGCACACCTCAGTCTGGGGTATAGATGTTGGGGTCTTGGGGTCCCCAGGCAGGGCCTTGAGAACTGTGGGGAGGAATTTGGCTTTTGATCTGAGGGAGGTGGGAGCCCTGGAAAGTTTAGTACTGGGAAAGGTATAGAATGGTTTGTGGGAGGAGAGATGTTCCCAGAAGTCCTTCTCCATTCTCCTATTCCTAGTTTCTTTTTCTTGTTTTCTTTTTGAAATGCTTCATGGATTTGCATGTCATTCTTGTGCAGGGACCATGCTAATCCTCTCTGTAGCCTTCCAATTTTAGTGTATGTGCTGCCAAAGTGAGCACTTTTCCTCCTATTTTTAAACAAAATGCATCCAGCATCCCTCAAATCTTGACTCATTTACTTAGTAGACAAAAAATGCCATTTCTCCAAGGACAAGTCTTCTGCATTCCTGGCACCTAACACTGCCAGGTGCCCAGTAGGTGCTCAATAAATCTTTTGGGACTGAATGGACACAGAGACCAAGAGGCTGCAATGAGACTACTCACAACTCCCTTTTGCTGAGCATACATGTACTACGTATTGCCTCTGGCTGCTTTCATGTTGCAATGGAAGATCTGTGGCTGCAATGTTGGAAATATTTACTATTTGGCCTTTTATAGAAAAAGTTTCTCAAACCCTGAGCTACTGTGTGCTAGGCTCTGTTCCACGCTCTTCCTGTATATTCACTCCACTAACCATCCCAGCTGCCCTGGAGATGAGCAAGGCTCAGAGAGGTTAAGAAACAAACCTGGGGTCACACAGCACATGGGGCTCTGAGCTGGGACTCAAGCCCAGGGCCCCTGATGTTTCTCTGGGTCTTTTTTTCTCCCAAGTTTGCTACCTTATCTCATTGTTTTAATGCTAAATGAATGTACATTTATTGTAAAAAGGAGGAAATGAAAAGGCCTGTAAACAAAGAGGTAGAAGTGTCCCTGCCCACTCTGGGGTGCATCCTGATGCATCTTTCTCTAGAGCTCATCCAAAGCTATTGCTCTTTGTACACACACTGATTTAAGTGCCACGTTGAGTGGAACCATTTTTCTTACAAGAAAACTAAGAGGCTCTGGCTGGTTTGGCTTAGCGGTTATAGTGTCGGCCTGTGGTCCAGAGAGACCCGATTCAGTTCCTGCTAAGGGCACATGCCTCGGTTGCAGTTTGGCCCTGGCCCTGGTTGGGTCGTGTGGGTGGCAACCACTCAATGTGTCCCTTTCACACCAATGTTTCTCTCTCCCCCCCCCCCCCCCACTCTATCTGAACAAAAATGTCCTCGGGTGAGGATTAAAAAAAAGAAGAAGAAAACTAAGAGGTTTAGAAGAATCTCTCTCTTCTGCCCCTTCCCCCAGCCAGATCCCACTAAGTAAGTATGTTTGGGGCCAGGGGACTAGTGTTCTCATCAGAACCTGAGAAGTTAGGGCCACAGTTTACATGTTGGCAGTGACAGGTCCTGCCTCTCTCCCAGTCTGTGGGATCCACACTGTGACACATGCAGCATGAAGGACTCAAGATAGACTGCAAAAAATTAAGGGGAACTGGTTGCCTCTATCTTCTGCCTGTCCCTGCTCCCCACGTGATCTTCTCCAGACTTCCCCTAGCCCAGGCCAGGCCTCACCCTAAACTCCAACCTGGCAACCAGCTGTCCACCCAATGTCACCCTTTGTCATCCCTCCAACCCCATCATGTCACTGTGTCCTTCCAGCTACTCAATCTGGAAATGGGGGGATCCCAATGCCTGTCATCTCACATTCCATCCATGGCAATCCTGTCAGCTCTCCCTTCAAGATCCATCCACAATCCACCTGTCTCTCAACCTTTTTCAGCCTAGGGGTCCCAGTTCAGCCTCTTCCAGGACTCTAAGCCCCTCCACTTTGCACTTGTTAATCCACTCCCCACCTAACAGCCAGAGGGACCTTTACAAAAATAAACCGGGTTGGTCCCTCTCCCATTCTAAAGTCTGTCATGGCTCACCAGAGCCCTCAAGACAAAGCCTGAGCTCTCCTTGCTCCCTCCTCTATCCACCTCACTCACTCTGGTCGCAGGGGCCTGAATTGTGTGTTGTGGGAGCTGAGGCATATTTAAATCATTAATCCTTCTTTGCGCTAGGTCCAGGACCAGCGTCCAGCAAGTGCTCAGAAGCGCCAAGAATTGCTGTTATCATCATTCCTCCTCAAATGGGCCTGGCTTGGTCCCATCGCAACGCCTTTGCATTTGCAGTGCCCTCCACCTCTTCCAGACCTCCAGGCTGCAGTAGAGGCGTCAGCCCCTCGTAGCGGCCTCCCGGACCTCCCCCGGGGTCCCACTCGCCCCTTGCCCTCCCAGCTCTCCCCTCCTCACTTCCCCTCTGGACCAAGAGCTGGGGAGGGGCCGGATTTTGTTTGTCGAGGTCAAGTCTAGAGCCAGCTCACAGACCCAGCCTGGCCGCCAGCAACAGCTCCTCTCGGACCAGGGATGAATGACTTCGGGAGGGGGACGAGGCGCAGCTCCGGGGAGGTTCCAGGTCAGGCCTACCGACGGCGGATAGGCTGCGGGCACAGCCTGCGCGCGGGGATGGGGGCGCTGCGGCAACCCTGGCGGCCGGCAGGAGGCGCAGCGCGGACCGCGGCGCCTGGAGATGGGAGGGGACCGAGCGGGGAGGGGAGCGACAGAGAAACGCGGTGGCGGCGGCGGCGGCGCGCGCGCTCAGCCCACCCCCCGCGTCCGCCGCCGCCCGGACAATAAACAGCCGCGCGCGGGGCGATGCCCGAGCCGGTGTCTACGCCCCCGCGCCGCGCAGCCCAGGTCGCTAGGCCTTAGCCCTCTGTCCCCCCCTCGTCACCCCCTTCCCCCCCTGCACACCCGCCCGCGTTCGACTCGACTCAGCATCGCGGACCCACTCGGACCTCCGCGGGGAAATGGAGTGAGTAGGCGCGCTCGGGCAGTGGACGGGGGGCTGGGGGCGGGGGCCCAGGGAGGGGTGAGGCCTCCACTGTCGACCCCCCATTGGGAGCGTCGCGGCCCCCGCGTGGAGAGGGAGGTGTCGAGGGGCTTCCGGGACCACCAGCTCAGCTCCGGAAGAACTCGGGCTGGGCAGAGCCCGCTCTGAGATCTCCCGGTACCCGACCCCGGCGGCCCACGGGCTCCTAGGGACTCGGGCGGCAGCGGCTGGGGGGCAGCCCAGGACACTGGGAGAGGAGGTGCGTGCCCTGCCCGCGCCCCCGGGGCCAACCTCGGCCACCTGTGGGCTCCGAAGTGATGAAGCGACCCCTCCCCAATGCACCGGTCAGCCCTTGAGCTCACCCGCCACCCCCTCTTCACCTCCTCACCCCCGAGCCTGAGCTCGCCGCTCCCTGCGCCCTGGACGCGCCCACGGGCCAATCCTCCCTCCTCCTGGCTGCCCTCCCTAAGGGCCTCGAGTGCTGTCTAAAGCCCCTGTTAAGGCGGGGGTGGGCTGCCAGATGTCCCGAGTTACCACTGGAGGGAGGGGCCTTGTCTCCAGGCTTCTTGTCTGGGATGTGTGAGACTGGAGGTCCAGTTGCTTTCCAACAGGGGAGTTTGGAGCTGATCCCCTCTGGGAAAGTGTCCCCTAAATAGGGTTCCAAATTGTGTAGCCAAGAGTCCACTGGCCCCTGGTTGGAATGGAGTGGGTGGCCTGGGTCTGTGGGGACTTAGGTGAGGAGCTGCTGGGCCACAGATGGTTCTTGCCGAAGCAGTTGCTGACTGAGTGTGCATGGTCATTTCAGACAGAGTCCTTTCTGGCTCAGGGTGGCCCACGCCCCCACTCCCACAGGTGGAAGCTGGGAGGTTGTGGAGTGTGATTGCCAGGGCAGGGAGTGGGAACCAGGTGTCTGGGGTCCCAGCAGCTGCCCATTATGTGTGTGAGGGGGGTATCTGCTGCCCTGCTCTGGACCAAGTCCCCTTGGGGTGGGAGGCTTGGACCTGTAGGTCCAGCCAGTCCAGCTCCCCTTGCCCTTCCCACTGGGTGTGTTTTCTGAACATACAACTTTCCTCCAGGGATTCACCCGTGACCCACCACACCCTCAGCTGGGTGGGAGCCCCTGCTCCCCGCCCTCCATGGAATGAGACACCCAGTGTCCTCTGCTTTTGAAAATCCAGACAAAGGCCTAGCTGCTCCCCAATCTGCCCTGGGAGCCCAGCCAGGGGCTCAGGGGAGCCAGGGCCAGACTTGTCTGCACTATGATCCCCACTTGTTTATATGCTCTTCTCCCTGGGCCCAAAGGGAGACTCTGGGCCTCCTGATAGCAGACCCCAGGTAGGGTGTGGCCTTAGGGAAGGGGCTGCCTTGGGGGAGGAGAGGTGAAAATCTCAGAAAATGTCCCCCAAGGCAGAAGAATGAAGGGATATTTTGGTTGAACCCCACTGTTTCCTTTCCCACCACCTCTTTCTTTCTCAGTGTGGATACTGAGGCCCAGGGAGGGGCAGCACTGCCCAGGGTCACACAGCACAAGGAGAGTGCCCTGCCCTGTGCCTTCTTGGTCACAGTTCAGATATGGTGCCATGGCCCCCCATTTGATGGATTACTGTTTTTTCTGGGTACTAATGTGAGATGGGACTTGGCATTACCTGGCTCGAATAGCCACAAGAGAAAGCCTCTGTCCCCAGTGTTTGAATTGATGATCATGGGGCGAGGCTCTATATGATGCTGCCCTGACTGGAGCACCTGCCCCTCACACATCATCCTTTTTCATGAAGGCAGAGCAGGCTCCAGGCACAGAGCAAAGAACAAATCACTCACCTCGACCTGTTTCCATGGATTTTGCCATCAGAGTCACAGGAGATTGTTGAGGCTTATGGTGGTGCTGGAAACTTTCTTTTAAAAATAAATTTAAGCCTGGCCTGTGTGGCTCTGTGGTCGAGCGTCGACCCATGCACCAAGAGGTTGCTGGTTCAATTCCCAGTCAGAGCACATGCCCAGGTTGTGGGCCTAATCCCCAGTGGAGGGCAGGCAGGATGAGACCAATCAATGTTCTCTCTCATCGATGTTTCTATATCTCTCTCCCTTTCCCTTCCTCTCTCTCTAAAATCAATAAAGAAAAAAATTTTAATAAAAATAAATTTAAGAATTTGACAAATTTTTGTTAAAGGATTAAACAAATTTTCATTAGTTTAAGAATTTAAGAATTTATTGAAAAGTAGCAAGAAACTGATCACTGAGGTAGTGGGAGAGATGGCTGATGCTGCAAAGATGGGACAAGGGTGGGGGTGGCAGAACAGGGACACACTTCTGGTGGGGAGAGCTGAGTGCCAGTCCTGCCCTGGGGAGGATTTGCTGTGTGCCACCCCGCTCCCATGAGGTACTGCTCCGCTGGGAGCCTCAGGGTCTTAGCTTGGAGCAGCCTTTCTCAAATGCTTAAACTCTGTCCTGGGTGAAGGCAGGGCTCCAGCCAGCCCTGGGACAGGAGCAGGAGAATAGAACTCGGGCAGACCGCTCCCAGATACCTTCCCACCCTTAGGCCTGGACATCTTCAAGAAGTCTCTGTTGGGTGCTATCTGGGTCCTTAATGTTTCTTTCACACTTGCTAATCTCCCTTTTTAATGAGAGGCACAGCCCGTTAAAAGGCAACAGTATCTAATGATAAAACAAGCTTTCATTTTCATTGTGTCTATTTTTCAGTGGCTTTTAGTCTGTGGCAGTGGCTTCTTGTCTTCTCAGTCTTGGTAACAATGAAATGTTTCCTTCTAAAACAAGGGGGTTTGATTCAGTGAGTGATGTGTAGGGAAGAAACATGCAGATAATAACTATAGGTGGGGGTGGGGGGGACATGGGAAGGTGATTCAAGAAGTGCTGGCATCATTTATTTACTTAAAAATCATTTAATGAGCACTTGCTGTATACCAGACCCTGTTCTGAGTGCATCGTCACTGTGAATTTTCTTGATCCTTACAGCAGTTCTGTGAGGTGGGGAAACTGAGGCAGGGAGAGGTGACATGACTTGCCTGAGGCTGCACAGCTGCAAAGGGGTGGGGCTTGCATTTCTTAGGCATTCCTCTTAGTTGCCAGGGTTAGGGGGAGGGACTCTTGTACCTTCCTATATCCCAGAGGTTTTGGTCTTCAGGGTTCCTAGATATCCTGGCATCAGCTTTTCAACCTGGTTGGTCTCCTTGGCATTTGCCCCTTCATCCCTCCCTCCCCCAAGACTCCTTCTGTAACTGCCAGTTTAAGAGTGGAGCATGGAAAGGGGTGTCCTCACTCCTTATGAGAATGGATATGTCACTTGCTTTCCCTGTGCCTCACTTTTCACATTTGATGAATGGGGACATGAGCCCTCCCAGGTGGGGCACAGTTAGAAGAGGGACAGGTGCTATATGGACTTGGCCCTTATAAGTATCACCTGTAGCTGCATGTGAGCCCCACCCTCAAGGGTCTCAGATTTTGATGCTGGGAAAAAATCACATCACCTTTTTCGAAGTCTGGAACCCTATTTTTGTCCATCTTTCCCCAATCCAGAAAGTGTCTCATCTGGTTATTTAAGAAACATTTCCTTCTGACCATCCTAGCCCCATGCAGGATCAGGGAGCCCCCTGGAGGGTCTTCTTTGAGATGTGGAGTAAAGTTTTCTGGTCTTTTCCATCATGGACCTTTTCTATGAAACATATTTAAGGGTTTACCCAGAAGGCAGAAGGGAGCACCTAGTAGAAAGTATAGCGTGTGCAGCCCTGGCCAGTTTGGTTCAGCGGTTAGAGTATCGGCCTGCGGTCCTGAGAGACCTGGGTTCGGTTCCCGCTAAGGGCGTGTACCTCGGTTGCAGTTTGTCCCCGGCCCTGGTTGGTTGTGCGGGTGGCAGCCACTCGATGTGTCCCTTTCACATCGATGTTTCTCTCTCTCTCTCTGTTCCCCCCCACACACACACTCTAAAAAAAGAGAAAGTATAGCCTGTGCAGAGGCCCATAGGTGGGAGAGCATTTGGAGAAGGGAACACTCTTTGGTTTGTGCTCTAGGGGCTAGGTCCTTACAGGCCTAGAGGGCCCAGCTGGGGGCCATGGGGAGCCATGGATGGTATCTGAGAAGGGGAGAAGTGAGAACTGATGCCAGACACCAGAAGGGAATCTTGCAGCTGAGGGGCCAGATCAGTGAGGAGCAAGTCAGGGTTCAGCTTAGATGGGATCTGTGGGGGCAGCTCAGAGACAAGTGCTAAAGTCAGGGGAGCAGAACCCAATGTCTGGGTGGGCATAGACCTGATTTCAGAGTTTTGTGGTGTCAGAGTCATGCACAAAGCTGAGCTGGCCTGGTCAGGGAGAGATGACCCAGTCTTTAGATGCATAGGGAGGCTAGAAGGTGCCCTGGCCATGGTACCAAAAGGTCTGTATGCAGCATGGGATGGCTGAGTAGGAGTCTTGTGTCTAATAAGTGTGAAATTGGACTGGGATGTCTGTCTCTGGCCCAAGGGTTTCAAGCAAGAATTCAGGGATAGTCAGAGCCTGTCACTGGGACAGTCCGGATTGGGCTGGAAATTGAGAGGCAGAACCCAAGCCAGGCCTTGGTAAGGACCAGAGTGGTGGCAGGCTGGTAGGAGTCACTGCATAGACAAGGGTAGTGGTGGGACAGGGCCATTCCTAGGAGCCCAGCCTGGGTGAGCAGAGCCAGTGAAGGGGCCAGTGATGTGGGGCCTTGAAGGCTGAGTGAGGGGGAGGGGCTCGGCAGGGAGCCGGCAGGGAGTGAAAAGATGATGTCCTAGTCAGTTTGTGTTCAAATCCTTCTGATCATGGAGTCTCAGGGCAGGGTCAGCAGGGCAGGAACCCCACTCTGGCCCTGGCCTGGCCCTAGTGAGAGGGTCAGCATTTCTGTTATATAAAGTTATACATTTATATTTACCAGCTTTATTGAGCTATCATTCATACCCCACACAATCCACCCACCTAAAGTGTACAATCCAGTGGTTTTCAGTACATGCACAGAGT